AAATAAAAGTGGCATCAGATATTTAGCCTGTTTCGTTTTAAATGGAATACACTATATGTTCACTTTAATTGATGATTTCTCGAGGAAGATTTTTGTGTATTTTTTAAAATCAAAAAGTGAAGTTCTCACTGTATTTAAAGACTTTCATGTATTGGTAGAAAATCAAAGTGGAAGAAAGTTAAAGAAACTTAGAAGCGATAATGGCACCGAGTGTATGTGGATACTTCTTTTAAAAACTATTTAAAATCAAAAGGTATAGAACACCAATCAACCGTGAAATAAACGCCTGAGCAAAATGGTGTTGCAGAAAAGACAAACGGAAAAATAATTGAGAAAGCAAGGTGTCTTATCCAAGAAGCTAAATTCGAAGAAAAAATGTGGGCAGAAGCTGCAAATACAACTGTTTATATGAAAAATCGTTCTCCTCACAAAAGTGTTCAATCTTCAACTCCACAAGAAAAATGGACAGGTGAGAAAGTAGATTTAAAACATTTCAGAGTTTTTGGGTGTATTGCGCATGCGCACATTCCTGATCATTTGCGAAAAAAATTGATTCTAAGAGCAAACAATACTGTGAATAAACAAGGCTCACTGAAATAACGTGGCTTATGGAGTGGCGTGTGATCTACCAAGTGGTACGCATTAAGTTACGTGCCACTAAACTAAATGCATGTTACTTGCCTTGTCACTTCACTGGGCTCTTGCTTATTTGTTTATGTTCGCTTGATTTGTACAGAGACATGAGTATGAAATGGACTGCGTGTTCCGTAGAGTTGCCGTCCGCGGCAGTGATGGAAAGATGGTTAGGCAACCAGTCTTTCGCATTGTGGGCAAGAAGCTACACAAACACTTAAACGTTAGATAAAAAAAACTTGTTATTCCTAAACAGTTCTTGGGCAAATTCAAAGGCACAAAATACTAGAATGTAAGGTACAAATACTTCAGTGGCGTGTCCAGACTTGAACAGAGCGGGAAGCTGTGGGAAAAGATGGTGAAAGTACAAGGCAGGAGAGACTTATAACTTCAGAACTAGTCAGCCATTCACAAATTTCATATATTTCTTTTTGAAAATGTCTACATAAAGTTTAGTTTAGTGTTCTTAATAAATCCTCGAGGGGAAGCTGTGCTTCCCTAGCTTCCATAGTAAACACGCCACTGAAATACTTATATGTAAACTTAAATTTAGGATTTAGATGCAAAACTGATTTTAATTCTACTGGTTCTTAAAAATTACAAGTTTTGTATACATTTGCCTAACTCTATCAGTGATTCTACTTACTTCCTTATTCTGATAATGGATTCTAACGAGAAAATAAACACGTAAAATTGCGTTGATCAGCTGAAGTAAATGATTATTAATAGGATCTTGGTCCAATATATGATCCCCAAGCTCCTTGAAATAATTGTGAATGTTCATGTCACTCATGGTCCATATTATATTTTTTTTGAGTGTAGTGTTTGGAGTGTAATGAGTACGAAATTTTTTTTCGGCTAAACTGCACAGTTTTATTACATCTTCTGATGCCTTACATAATCCCCCAAGATCTTTTCTATTTAGTAAAAGTGATGACGACTCATCAGAAAACAAAAAATTACAACAGATCGCGTAGGTATCTAACACTAACGTATAACAAGTGCGCGCGGATTTCTGCTCCTAATCTGCAGTTAGGGTTGCCTACCATGTTTACATCACTGTTCGTACCACTGGCGTAGCCAGGGGGGGGGCAAGGGGGCATTTGCCCCCCCCCAAGACCCTTAAATTTTATGAATAATTCTTCAAAATTGAAATAAACAGTCCCAAAAATAGCGTAAAGAAACCTAAAAAAGGGACGTGGCACCCAAAAATTTCGCGCCTGCGGCGCTTTGCCTCTAGCAGCTGTCGCGGCGGGGCCGCAGGAAACACTTCCTGCAAATTTGCCCCCCCCCAAGACAAAATCCTGGCTACGCCACTGGTTCGTACCGTACGCCCAGTCCATTTCATACTCATGTCTCTGGATTTGTAGCATGCTAAATGCTTGCTACTTGCTGAATCACACGCCACATCATAAGGCATACGCTATTTCGGTGGGCGCCCTGCCTATAAGGATATAGACTCTTTGATATCCAGAAACAGGTCATGTAATAAAATCTAGAGATGTGGTGTTTTTTGAAAATACTTATAAAGGAAACACTACAGTATCTTCGATATTTCACAGCAGCAAATATTTAATTCAAGTTGAGTCTAAACTAGAAGTTATCATCAATGATGTCATTGCTGATGATCGAACTGAAAATGATAATACAGGAAATGATAGTAGCAATGAATCCTTAGACGAACCAGAGAATCCAGGGCAAATGGAACAAGAGTTTAGACGTACTCAGCTAGATCTAGGAAAATTAAATTATTCTCTGATCATATACTCTACTATGCGTTGGAAGAAGTAAGAGCCTTGTTCAGTGCAAGAAGCTTTAGCTAGTGAATATGGTGATGAGTGGAAAAATAATATGGATGAAGAAATGCAATCAATGAAGGGCAATAATGCATGGACTTTAGTGGACATTCCCAGAGACGGAAAAACTGTACAGTGTAAGTGGGAATTTTGAATAAAAGATGGTGTGGATGGGGAAAAAAGATTTAAAGCTCGTCTCGTAGCTAAGGGTTATACTTAAAAATATGGTGAGGACTATACAGAAACATTTTCTCCAGTGATAAGAAATTCAACCATTCGTTTATTATTTCCATTGTCTGTAAATTTGGATCTAGAAATAGATCACATGAATGTCACTTTGGCCGTTTTGAATAGTTACTTGAATGAAGAGATTTTTATGACTGAACCAGAGGAAAACGTTACTAATAAAAATAAAGTTTGTTCACTGATTAGAGCTATTTATGGTCTAAAACAATGTTCCAGAATAAGGAACAAGAAAGTTGAGAAATCCTGGTTGGTTTGAGATATAAAAAGTCTCAATATGAAAGCTGTGTTTACATTAAAAAAATATCAGATTCTTTAGTTATAGTAGCATTATGTGTTGATGATGCAGGGCGCAGGCAAAACCAATTTAAGAGAAAAATGGGGAAACCTAGCGACAATGTTGAGCAGCGATATTAACAGATAAGCTGCAAAAAGGATGCAGTTTTCATCTAGATGAGATATTTTTTTGAACCTATTTTTAGACATCTTGTGCTTTTGGGTCTCGACGACCATTGCTCAACCTCTGCATTTTCCAAAGTAAAAAGGTATTTACGAGCTTGCTTTTTATCAAAATCATTCTATCACGCGCACAATCGCTAGCACATTTCTTATTAATAAACAATTAACCTTAACCAGACAAACTGTGAATAACTCTTCAATAGCTTGAAACTAGTCGAGAAAATTCAATAGAGTCAAGTCGATAATTCGAGTGTCGTGATGCATTTTAAGTCGACTATCGACATTTTCGTTCAATTTCAATCGAGATCGGGAGATATGTACCTTATCTTATTAAAGACGCTCAAGCTTTATTGTATGAGAACTGCTTCTTCATAATTTCTTTTCCACTAATTTTGTTCGTCGTGGATCGATCCTGGACTATCCTATAGTTTCAAACTATTTTCATCTGGTCAAACTTTCGGCCGCACATAATATGGCCTCCATCAGCGATCTTGATGTTTATTTCCTCTATTTGTCCCTGATCGGACTTATATGAACTTATTGTATAAGTATTTGGTCTTGTACCATTGTCCAGATCAGTGAGAAATCTGGAAATGTAGATCTACTGTATACTATACACTATACTACATACGATAGGTACTCACCTATCGTATGTAGTATAGTCTTAGCAAGTTGACTTCTCAGGATGTGTCTGATACAATGTATTTTCCAGCAACTAGCCACTCCGTATCTAGCAACCAAAGACATATGGCCATAAATTTCAAAATGAAACCAGCAGTCAAAGAAATCCACTGACACTTTAAAATCATAAACTGGTATCACACGAATTCCCTGAGGGTTGAGGAAAGAAGAATCAACAATAATGAATGATCCAATAAATTCAACCAGGTGTTAGCCATACGGATGTATTCTGTCTCCTTTGTTGCTGGATTTAAACTAGGTATAGTTTCTTCATCAACGGAGGAAGGTTGAATGATTTGAGAAACGATAGAACTCGCTGAGTCCAGTTAACTATAGGTAACAAATATACCTAGGTAACTAGTCGAACGACCGAATATCTTGAATCAAAAACCTCAGAACTTCATTCTCAATGTGAAATAGATTCGTGTATATAGGTATCTCGTATAAAAACACTGGCTAATAATAATCCAAGAAAACCGCATTTCTATTGAAAGCTTACCCTTACCTAGTAGAATATTTGTGAAACTTCTAAAGAAAGTGTAATCAATCGTTCCAGCTTGATGTCGCAACCTATGCAATCCCATGAATAATCAACTAGCTATTACCCACAGCAAATACAGAAAGAACATTTCCATTCAAACGACCCTCTTTTCATTCAAAGATCGACTGAGTATCCCAGGTTTTGTATACTTTTATGGGTTTTTGAAAATGGTTTCTTATTGCAATTCTGCATGATACAAATACGTTTTCCTTTACTGGCAAAGGGTCAGAAGAATATTAAAACGATTATAAATTTTTATTTGAGGCGAATATGGGTCTGAAACCTACTACGGCACCGAGAGCAAGAATAGGATCCCTAGATCAGTAAGGAATCAAAAATCGACATACGTGTATGAAACGTCCCAGTTACATTACAATTTAATATAATTTTAACTAAAGAGTAAAGGTATATTATATTAATTATTCACATTTCGTAGAAATTATTTCATAATGCTACACGTACATACACTTTATTTATATTGGGTTACATTTTTATTCAAATCCAAACGAATATTTCTTATATTTAGGACAAGTAGTATCGATATGTAATGGAAAATTATCGACTTATACATCAAAATGCAGTGATTTGACACTATTCGATACCAGATGGCGGCAAGGCGCCCATTCCTATCGATCAGCTGTTCCGCTGTTCCCTCCTTTACTTTCAGCTTTCAGCTTTTTTGTTTACAAGTTAAATATCAACCAATTTTCCGGTAAATTCACTTAATTTTCTATTTTAAATTAACTTTTACTCTCCGAAATGAGTAATACCGACTACCTGAGACTCTCGGAACACAAAATATTCAAAGAAGCTTGCGATAGATTGCCGAAAGACGTGAATAAACCGCAAAATTTGATCGCGCTGCAAGAGTCTGTTTTGTTTACATGGGATTTCTCCAACAATTGCGTGCTCTCATTGAATATTAAGGCCGCTAGGAGCAAGGAAGGCGACAATATTATCCATCAGGTATGTTCTAAATTATAAATAAACCTAGGAATCGTTCAAAAGCTCCTTAAAAACTGCATTTAAAAACATGTTCAAAGGGGCACATAACCTCACTACCTGTGTACTGTAAACACCAAAATAAAACTTGGTCCTTGGTCTAATACCTAAGTATGTATTATTGAGTGTTGAGTGGAAATAGAGAGGCAAACACATTATCATTAGCAATATGTATATCAAAGAGATAATGCAATAAACCCCATTGCCTTGTATAATTAAATTATTGATGTTTTTTTGCTTTTTTTGTTTTTGTTAATGCACTCTACATTGAAATTTGCCTCTACTTCAGACAGTTTTAAAATCAGATACCTATATGAGCCTGGCCTGGAACAAGAGGTCAGTTTTTGCTTTCCCATTCATAATGATAGAAGGCAGATTTAAACTGAGCTGGTTTTTTTAATACCGCACGTTTAAGGAGTCTGCAGAAAGAATTGGGTTCAGACAAATAATGTAAACTACCTAATTATTGCTTATTAAAATTTAACTCGCAAAACGTACTTTGGGTACCCGTACATTTTGACTACAGTAGGCTGGGCAATATCTAGGTATTAACTTCGGTATTAACAGCAGGTATTGCCTTATAGTGTTATATTCTCGGTTATATTAGAAGAAAAGCCTTTGCCGGGGCCTTTGCAAGATGGTAAATGAAAAATGCTGAAATTAAAGCAGGTCATAAAAGACCAGCCTAATCAATCTAGTTAGGTAGGTACTTGGCTAGGTAGATACCTACTGATGGACATCGGTCTAAGTGGTATTATTGATACTCGTATTGATATTATCATTATGGTCAGGTAGTTATTTTCCCTAATAAATAGGTATTATCTCGAGTGTCGTATGCATATTAAAGTATCTATTTATTGTAATAAAAATTTCGGGTCAGTTAAGTTAGCCCCCCCCCCCCTACTAAATTTTTCTAAATGAAACATATCCTATAAGTTTGCACCATCAACTATAATTTTTGCTTCACTACGGTGGAGAGACTATGTGGCCTATTAAGTGGGGGGAGGGGGCAAATTAACGCTAGACCCCTCAGTGAAATTTCTCATGCTCATTTTATTTTCCAAGTTTTGCTCCATTTTGCTTCATGATCGGCGAGTTTTGCTCTATTACCTGAAATGAGCTATAGAGCTCCCAAAAATCTCTCCTAGCCCCCCGCCCCAGTGAAATTTTTAAATTTTGGTGACACCGAGTATATTTATATTTTGTATATAATTCTGCTATAGGTAATCAAATTTTATTCAAAAAACCAGTGAACAACAAAATATTTCTATCATTGTGTGTTGTAGCGGAGTTACAAAATATAAATAAGCATACTCGGTGTCACCAGAAATAAAAAATTTCACTGGAGTGGCGAGAGGTCTATAAACCTAGCAGTCCCAAGGTGGAAAAAAACTTCGGAAACTATATAATAATTAGGTGCTTTTTAGGTGCTAATTAAGGCCTCTAATTAAAAATTAGGTGCTCCTTTAGTTTCTGAGAAAATCAAAAAAAACTAAGAGACTGCTAGGTTTATAAAAGCTAGCAGTCCCCTATAGTGAAAAATATTTTTTCAAATTTTTTCTTTGTATCAGAATTAGGTGCTTTTTAGGTGCTCCTAAATAGTCGAAGAAAAAATAGAATTGATTAATTATTAACTGAGTTACAGATTTTTTTTAATTATTAGGGGACTGCTGGCTTTACGTTCACACTCGCGTTCACATGTTGGTGTGTCACAATGGAAAAAAAACTTCGGGATCTATATAATAATTAGGTGCTAATTAGGGCCTCTAATTAAAAATTAGGTACTCCCGAGGGTGCTCCTCTGATTTTTGAGAAAATCAAAAAAAACTAAGGGATTGCTAAGTTTATTAAAGCTAGTAGTCCCCTATAGTAAAAAATATTTTCCCAAAATTTTCTTTTGTATCAGAATTAGGTGCTTTTTAGGTGCTCCTAAATAGTTGAAGAAAAAATAGAATTCATTAATTATTAACTGAGTTACAGATTTGTTTTTAATTATAAGGGGACTGCTGGCTTTACATTTACATGTTGGTGTGTCAGAATGGAAAAAAACTTCGGGATCTACAGTGTCATTACTTAAGTGTGCAACATATGGGATTTTTTTCTAGTAATAGCACAATCAAAATATAAACAAGGCCAAAAGTTGGTGCATGTCTGATAATCATATTAGGTGCACTTAGAATGGTTGCAGGTTAAACAGCATACAGGGTAGCTGAAACTATATCAAAATTGTACTGTAAAGTACATACCCTTATTTTAGAGAATTCAGCAAAATGTTATAGAGAAAAATTGTTTGGAATTGAAAGTTATGATGCCTAAATACCAAAACATAGCCTCCTAGGATTTTTTTTTTTTCGAAAAAAATCTATGTACAGGGTGTCCCACGGTGGATGGCGTATTAGACGTTTATGGAGAACTAAAAAGCGGATCATTTTGAAAATCTGGCAACCGGGATAAACGACCATGATCTACACTTTAAAAATATTTTTGACCATGTATAATTTCTACTTATATTTTTTTTTTTTTTTTATTTCCGCCCTTAATACTTTCAAAAATTAATTAAAATCAAATCAATTTTACATAACTTTGTTCAAATTCAAGCATATTTGTAAAATTAACTTAAATTTTCAATTTGTTATGGAATCACAAAATTCATGTTTGTTGCAATGATATTCAACACAACTTTAAAATGTCGCAATTTTGTTTTTTTAACAAGTTAAAACATTACTAATGATAATATTCATATTAAAAAAACTCTCCCTAAAGTGCAGAAGTTTTATTTTATTTAAGTAAATATTACTACAATTTTGATATTTTTTGAGCTATACCCTGTATACTGTTTGACTGCAACCATTCTAAGTGCACCTAATATGATTATCAGACATGCACCAACTTTTGGCCTTGTTTATATTTTGATTGTGCTATTACTAAAAAAAATCCCATCTGTTGCACACTTAAGTAATGACACTGTAGATCCTGAAGTTTTTTTCCATTCTGACACACCAACATGTAAACGTAAAGCCAGCAGTCTCCTAGTAATTAAAAAAAAATCTGTAACTCAGTTAATAATTAATCAATTCTATTTTTTCTTCGACTATTTAGGAGCACCTAAAAATCACCTAATTCTGATACAAAATAAAATTTTGGAAAAATATTTTTCACTATAGGGGACTACTAGCTTTCATAAACCTAGCAATCCCTTAGTTTTTTTTGATTTTCTTAAAAACTAGAGGAGCACCTAATTTTTAATTAGAGGCCCTAATTAGCACCTAAAAAGCACCTAATTATTATATAGATCCCGAAGTTTTTTTTTCCATTCTGACACACCAACATGTAAACGTAAAGCCAGCAGTCCCCTAATAATTAAAAAAAAAATCTGTAACTCAGTTAATAATTAATCAATTCTATTTTTTCTTGGACTATTTAGGAGCACCTAAAAAGCACTTTATTCTGATACAAAGAAAAAATTTGAAAAAATATTTTTTACTATAGGGGACGGCTAGCTTTTATAAACCTACCAGTCCCTTAGTTTTTTTTGATTTTTTCAGAAACTAAAGGAGCACCTAATCTTTAATTAGAGGCCCTAATTAGCACCTAAAAAGCACCTAATTATTATATAGTTCCCGAAGTTTTTTTCCACCTTGGGACTGCTAGGTTTATAGACCTGGTGGCGAGGCTGGGAGAGATTTTTGGGACCTCTATAGCCGAGTCTATAGCTCATTTAAGGTAATGGAGCAAAACTCGCTAATCATGGAGCAAAACTTGGAGAATAAAATAGGCATAAAAAAACTTCAAAATTTTCACGGGGGGGGGGGGGGGAGGGGATAGGAGAGATTTTTGGGAGCTCTGTAGCTCATTCCAGGTAATGGAGCAAAACTCGCCGATCATGGAGCAAAACTTGGAGAATAAAATGAGCATAAAAAAACTTCGAAATTACAGTTTTGTATATTTTATTATTTTCGTATGGTTCTCTATTCATAGGTCGATCGAGTGTACGCCACTGGTATTTTCCTGTTTCTCTACCCCCTCAACCTTTCCATGTTAGTATGAATTCAATCCTATGTACAGTTTTTGAATAATCATACAGTTTCCTATGTACAGTTTTTGAATAATGATATAGTATTGTATATTTTCGTATGCTTCTCCATTCGTAGGTCGATCGAGTGTACGCCACTGGTATTTTTCTGTTTCTGACTACCCCCTCAACCTTTCCATGTTAGTATGAATTTAATCCTATGTACAGTTTTTGAATAATCAGAGTTTTGTATATTTTCGTATGGTTCTCCATTCATAGGTCGATCGTGTGTACGCCACTGGTATTTTCCTGTTTCTGACTACCCCCTCAACCTTTCCATGTTAGTATGAATTCAATTCTATGTACAGTTTTTGAAAAATCATACAGATCTCAACCAACCCTGTAACAAACACAATTTCCAAATCTTCCTGAACCATCATTATCAAGATAGGGTAACTGACAAATTACTGAAAAATACATTGAAAGTGAAGTTTTCTTGGATGAGGGGTGTGTAATCGGTTTTTGCAAATAATCCTGAAAATAATCACTTGTTAGTAGTGTCTGTAGGTTAATCACTGACATGGAAAAATTTGATCACAAGATCATTGAGGATTGTGATCATTTGAAAATGTTGCTAAGATTTCTAATAAATCTAATAATAAACATCTTCTGTTTGTTACATTAGATTAGAACCTTTCAAATATATTTATACTTAACTTTTGGGCATTTTTCAAAGAAAATTATCATGTTATGCCTATCATAAAAAAATTTGTGTCTAAGCTACTCCAAGCTTATTCTCAAATGAAAACTAATAGTGATTTGATAACATATATGAGTTCATCTTGAAATAAATTGGAAAAAGAAGTCTCATTCTCACAATCCTTTATTATGATGATTAGTGTGGGGATCTACAATTCACACCCCATCTTCAGGCAACAGAAGCTAAAATTGT